AGCATCTGAATATGATATTTCTATCGCTTTCCCTTTCCCCGTCGTCACAATATGTAAACCCCAGACAAAATGAGCCAATCAATGGACATGCTCTGGAGTGCGGGTAACTAATACCTGCACTCCAGTTAACGCACTGTGCATGTATGTATATGTATACGATTTAACTCTGACACATTTTCAACAGAAAGGTCCCCAAACTATGATACAACTTCTTTTATTGTTTTGCTGTTCATATTACTGTTAAAGTCAGTCTTTATTCTTTATATTGCCTCCATCTTCATTTCTCTGTCACTACCGTCAGCGTATTTTCAATGTACCTTTAAAATTACCAAAAAGCTGAGGCCATGCAAGGCGACTTCATTTAGTTTGCCCACTTGTGTTCTTGGCTACACTTATTTTGTATCACTACCTTAGCGGGGTTAATGCTGCAGTTATCATTTAGTTATTATCTATTATTATTATTATTATTTAGTATTATTATTATTATTATTATTATTATGGAATAGGAGTCATGTTAATTTATCTCTGAAATTATTTAAGTTCTGTTCTGTTGTTTTTTTATGGGCTCCTTGTAAGAAAAGATGTGAGCTGATCTAAATCACACACGTAAGAGATGGTCACTGGTCAGTATAGACTTTAGTCTGACTGGAATGCCATAATCCATTTGGTACTCGAACCAACGACCGCATTGTTGTCCAGGCGAACTCGCAAGTGAGTGGTGGTCTAATCGCACGTGAGTGGTGGGGACAGCAGTAAACCATTGCGGACTGCAAATCTGCAATAAACCGTTAGCAGTAAACCGTTGCAGACAGCAGTAAACTGTTGCGGACAGCCTTAAACCGTTAGCGGACAGCGGTAAACCGTTAGCAGTAAACCATTGCGGACAGCAGTAAACTGTTAGCAGTAAACCGTTGCGGACAGCAGTAAACCGTTGCGGACTGCAGTAAATCTCCATTTGAACAAAAACATGTTGATGGTTAATCCATGCGCGCGCATCCTTAAAGTTCTGATACCGCGAACACTTCATCGGCCGGTATTTCGAAGAAAAACGAGTGGTGTGAAGAAATCAGAAAAGGTATGAATTTAATTTGTTTTGCAAAGAAGATGTCCTAACTTCTAGTTTTTATATACAAAATGTCTTGAAGTAACTCTTTCCTGTTTTGTCAGTATTTCGCGTTGAATGCGATTTTGATTCTGGATAGTGCGTACACCCGGCGTTGAAATGTTACAGAAAATGAGCAAATATCGATTAAACTGGCCGTTTTAAACGGCTGGAAGTTATTTTGATGTAGAATCCTTTTCAAAAATATTTATTTTCAACCTTCGTTCCAATTCATTTTTACTAAAATGTAGTTAAACGCACTTTTTACAGAAAACAGAGATAATGACATTGCGTACACTCTAAAAATATCCAGATACTGCGTACACATAACTATGCAAATTGATAGAAAGTGCATTTTATCCGAAACAGTTTATAAAACGATAAAGGGGATTGCATGGGTGTCCCGTTTTAATCTAAATCCTAGAAAATATTTAGAATTAACATTTATTTATGCAATTTATTTAGGTATTTATTTAAAACCTGGTGAATAATTGTCTATCTTGATAATGTTTTTATACTCTACATTTTGAAATAAATTACTTCTTTTAACAGTCAAATGTATATCTTATTTCAGAAAATGAATGTGTGTCGATTTTGTGGTGAATTCTTTGCCAGTTAATCTTCTCTCAGACAGCATGAGGCACGACATCGGCATGATGGCCCCTACAAATGTGATATATGTAGTCAAGTGGCTTTTCGGAGTACCATTACAAATTTGAAAACACTCATGCAGCGTCATTCCTCTGAACGCAAGTACGAATGTAAATGCGGCAAATCGTTCAAGACATCTCATGATTGAACAAAGAAAGAGCCAAACAAAGGAATTCAAATGTGAATGTCTCAGAATGTCAGAAAGGTGAAAGGTTGTATGATTATAAACCAATTTGTGTTTGTATAGTGCCACCAATGCTTTCCAGTGTTTTAACTGTAGTAAATTGGCATAAGACTAATTGCAACACTGATATTCATTTCAATGTTAATTTGACTTAAACAATTAAAAAAAATGAGTTGACCTTAACTGGGATTTGAAGTTGCATGTAAACGGCCTGAAGAAAACCATATTATTCTAAATGAGGGTTCGTTACTCTTATTATTTCGACGCTAAACCTGTTGTTTAACACAGATGTAAATAATCATGGAGCTTACTATACGCATGTATATCTATAATTAAAGAATAAAACAACATTAGAAATCTTCGACCATTCGGGAACTATTTTGCTTGAAAATTACTGCGCCTGTCATTTGTCAATCTTTACGCAGTGATCTCCCCTGAATTTTTCGTCGTTAGTGTACATATAAAGGGAAGTAACCGCTTAAAAAAACGGACTACTTTCGGCATTTGCAATTAACAGCATCGAAATTCGAAATTTCGCTACCATTATTTGTTTGGTCTGACGACCCAAACAAATAAAAATCTATTCAGTCATACCAAAACTGTTAGGAACACATGAAAAGAAAACACAGTTAAAACTTCGTGGAACATGAACGCATTCCAAAGAAATAACTTGCTTCAAGCATTTTTTGTTCAAGTTACAAATATATGCTATTTTCTTGTGCAATTTAATTTACAATGTTTTTTGCCCATGGAGTGTCTGTAAAGATTGCATTTATACCCGAATGCTTTGCTTACCATTCCACATTCATGACGTTTTCTCTTCTCGTGCTTATCTTTGTTATCACTAATATCTTTATGATTAGAGAACGCCAAACCACAGTCATCACATTTGAATTCCTTTGTTTGGCTCTTTCTTTGTTCATGGCGTTTTAAATCATGAGATGTCTTGAACGATTTGCCGCATTTACATCCGTACTTGCGTTCAGAGGAATGACGCTGCAGTTTTGTAATGGAACTCCGACTACATATATCACAATTGTAGGGGCCATCTTGCCGATGTCGTGCCTCATGCTGTCTGAGAGAAGATTAACTGGCAAAGAATTCACACATTCAATTTCTGAAATAAGATATACATGACTGTGAAATAAGATATACATTTGACTGTAAGAAGTAATTTATTTTGAAATGTAGAGTAAAAAGACATTATCAAGATAGACAATTATTCACCAGGTTTTACATAAATACCTAAACAAATTGCATAAATAAATGTTGATTCTAAATATTTTCTAGGATTTAGATTTTAAATAATTCTTCAAACGGGACACCCATGCAATCCGCTTTATTGTTTTATAAACCTTAGACTGCTTCGGATAAAATGTACTTTCTATCATTTGCATAGTTATGTGTACGCAGTATCTGGATATTTTTAGAGTGTACGCAATATCATTATCTTTGTTTTTTGTAAATAGTGCGTTTAAATACATTTTTTTAGTAAAAAATGAATTGGAACGAAGGTTGAAAAGTATATTTTTGAAAAAAGAATTCTACAACAGGATAACTTCCAGTCGTTTAAAACAGCCGTAGTTTAATCTTATTTGCTCATTTTCTGTAATATTTCAACGCCGGGTGTACGCACTATCCAAATCAAAATCGCATTCAACGAAAATACTGACAAAACAGGACAGAGTTACTTCAAGACATTTTGATATATAAAAACTAGAAGTTTAGGACATCTTCTTTGCAAAACAAATTAAATTCATACCTTTTCTGATTTCTTCACCACCACTCGTTTTTCTTCGAAATACCGGCCGATGAAGTGTTCGCGGTATCAGAAACTTTAAGGATGCGCGCGCATGTTTGAATTTCAAAACTGCCTGTGGTATTACGTGGACAAAGTGATATTGGTTCAAAAGATATTTTTGTTACACTAACGATATATAATTTAGCTTTTATACTATCTCAAATAACATATACGAAATTTTCTTTCATAATTCGGAGACCAATATGGGGGATACTGCATCCCTCGTTATTCTTTTCTATCTCAAACAACAATATTTAGAATATTATGCAGGGGTGATGACTGTTCATTCAAACAACAGTAGGACAACGTGCTCGCCTTTTCTCGGTGCTATAGATACTATACAAGAGCCTGGATAATGTAGAATTTTCATAGTTCAAACAGTGCAATAATTCTGTCAAAATCCACAGAATTATTGGCCTTGGACAGTGACCTATAATACTATCTAATAAGTGTGAATTTTCAACCCATTCACTTCAGCAGTTTTTGGAAAACCTTAAAAGTGCGACGTTGACACGTGTACTATGCCTGAATGGGTGAATAAAATTGCTCCCCCTATTATCCGAATAGTCGAGCTTAATTAAATCTCGTGACATATAAGCAAGACAGTAGAGAAGTGGATAAAATCCTCTCATACAGGTGTCTGCAGGGTTACAATACATACATTCAGGGATCACTCTGTGGTATTTATATTGGGAAAAACTTGTTAACTTGTGTCTTCCCTTCGGAACGTGCGCAATGTTGGAAGGAACAGGACATCGGCAGGAGACTGACTGCGCAAAGAAAACCGAAACATGTACATGTATCCTCTTGGTCCTGACGGCTACAAAGGTGACGAGGGTGAAGTGTACTGGGGGTGCATAAGCCCTTTGTACAAAGCAGGCTCTAAGATATTATAACTGTCCTTATCACAGCAAACTTTTCTTTTTCATGATTGCACTAAGTTACTGTACGTTTAGGTACTCATTGGCCTACATACAAGAGGCCTAGCTACTTTTGGCTCAAAACTCTCATCTGAAGCACGTAAAAATTATCACTCATGTGTGCTTCAAAATAAAATCTATAGGGGCATGGGGGGGGGGGAGAAAACTTTTTTGTGCTTAACTAGTGGATAGACCCTTCCTTTTGCAGAGACTTACACTACGTAATACCTATTGTGCTCCTTACAGATGTAAGAAGTAGACATTACCAGACTGATCAGAAAATGCATATTACTGAAACATTTAGTACACATATACAAAATGTATGAACAATGGATACACATGTATGCTATATTTATTTTATTTTCTATGTACATTCTATGAACATCTTACAGGAGAAAGAATGATTCAACAAATGTTAAATAAAAAAAAATCTGTAACAAAGTATAAATATAGATATATGTGTTTTTTTTCATTATTATTTAATGCAAACAAAGATTACAATAAAACTTGTGAATTCTAGCCAGTCAACAGAATTACAAGTATTTTATTATTATACAGAGATAGCTGTTTATTAAGGAAACATTAAAATGGTTGTGAACTTTCAATCAGGTTGGGTTGTGAACTTTCAATCAGGTTGAAGAAAATAATAAACATTATTTTTGATAGCCTGCAAAAACTGTTTTACTCTTGAGTCTTCTATGTTATCAATTGCATTACAGTTATCCTGTATGGGTGTTTATGAAACTTTTGTCATATCACATATTGTACACTGTTATTTCATTGAACATTATATAAACTATATCACAAAGTTTATCACATAGTATATTAAATGCCTTCAAAGATAAAACTATTTTTCGTTTTTCATATCACATTATCTATAAATGCTTACAAAACTTCTTCACAAAAAGGAAAATGCTGAAACGACTACATGTACTATAAAAAATTGCCAAAAACTAAACTCCTTTGTGTTCTTTTTTTATTTAACTAACTGTTGTTACTTTTGCCTCTTTCTTAGTATCACAATAAATGTATGCTACTTTTTTTCTTTGTATCTATTGTGTAACAAGGTTGTATGTAACTTCCATGAGAAAACTTTTTTTCCTTAATTTCTCTGCTGGCAGTACAATATATGAGCCGCGCCATGACAAAACCAACATAATGGGTTCGCGACCAGCATGGATCAAGACCAGCCTGTGCATCAGCGCAGTCTGATCAGGTTCCATGCTGTTCGCTATCAGTTTATCTACTTGTTATAGCGTTTGTAAGCGAATGGCATGGATCCTGATCAGACTGCGCGGATGCGCATGTTGGTATGGATCCATGCTGGTCGCAAACACACTATGTTGTTTTTGTCATGGCGCGGCTCATATGTGAAACTGATTAAACAAGAATAGTAACTTTGGTATAGTTTCCTATAGCACAAGCTATATTTGTCCAAAAATAGTCCCTTCCATAGCTGTGTTTTTCTTTTTACAATTCTAGGGGATTGAGGCCGAATTCCACTAATACATGTTTGTTATTAACTTGTACAAGAGTTGCCTTCTCTTCCCATTTATCCTTGGCAGCGTCTATCTTAGCAATTAAACTGTCAAGTGTCTCCTGAAATATATGAAAACAAACAATATTATCTTAATTAGCATAAATGTGTACATCGTCGGATACCCACGATTCATAAACATGTCACATAACATGCAATCATGATGAATGTTAATAGTTCGGCCGTGGGTATCCGACGATGAGATGTGTATGATCAAATATATAAATGTTTAGTCAAACCAATTTAATAAACATATGAATTTACTTTACTGGTACATGTAATTTTTTGTTTTTTGTTGTTGTTTTTTTGTTTGCTATTTGTTTTGTTCTGTTGTTTTGGTTTTTGTTGTTTTTTTAAGGAAATATGTAGATGATGATTATCTTACTTATCTGATCAAATAACAGTACTTGATCAAATTAGTTCATTTATGTGTAAGCAATCAAAACAAAGAAAATTTCTCCTTTTAACCCATCTCCACCCCAATCTCCACACATTTATGCAATTTCTATATCTAAAGGAAACCTCCACATTTTTATATGACTTTAATAATAGTATAATTGGTTTTTGCTGTGTTCGTTATATGTTTTTCCTAATATTGGGTCTACTATGTTTAAAAACTAATTATAAAGGTCATTTACTGATCATTTAACCACAACTTGTGTTTGGCAATGTTTCTAACAGTTACAAGTCATAAAATGAATATACCTTATTTTTTCTAATTCAAAACAAAACAAAACTTACATCGAGTATCCTTTCATAATCTTTCTCCATTCCAACAATTTTCATGTTTAAGCTGTCTATTTCTTCATCCTTCTCTTTTGTTATTCTTTCTTTCTCCTCTTTTGTTTTCTTTAAATCAGCTTCTGTTGTTGCTGTCAAAAATGAATATATTGATCATGTTTATATAGATTATGTTTATATTGATTATGTTTATATTGATTATGCATATATTGATCATGTTTATATTGATTATGCTTATATTGATCATGTTTATATTGATTATGCTTATATTGATCATGATTATATATTGACCATGTTTATATTGGTCATGTTTATATTGATCATGATTATATCGATCATGTTTTGTTTTGATTATGCTTATATTGATAATGTTTATATACTGATCATGTTTATATTGGTCATGTTTATATTGATTATGTTTATATTGATCATGATTATATCGATCATGTTTTGTTTTGATTATGCTTATATTGATCATGTTTATATTGATCATGTTTATATTGACCATGTTTATATTGATCATGTTTATATTGATTATGTTTATATTGATCATATTTATATATTGATCATGTTTATATTGGTCATGTTTATATTGATCATGTTTATATTGATTATGCTTATATTAATCTATTGATCATGTTTATATTGATCATGTTTATATTGATTATGCTAATATTAATCATGTTTATATTGATCATGTTTATATTGATTATGCTAATATCAATCATGTTTATATTGATTATGTTTATATAGATCATGTTTATTTTGATGCTGTTCATATTGATCATGTTTAAATATTGCTTATGTTTATATTGAAAATGTTTTTATTGATCATGTTTATTATATTGATTATGCTTATATTGATTATGCTTATATTGACCATATTTATATTGATTGTGTTTATATTGATTATGTTTATATTGGTCTTGTTCATATTGATCATGTTAATTTATAATGATCATGTTTATATTGATCATGTTTATACTGATCATGTTTATATTGATAAGTGAACATGAGTTGTCACAATGACAAACTATTATAACTATCATTAATGTTGAATAGTAAAATATCAGCCATACGGAAATTTTGCAAAGTTTTTAAAGGGGAATAATTATTAAAAATTCCTACAAAAGTTATGAGTTTTGGTCATAATTTTGTCTCAAGAAAACACCTTAAATATTAAATGATAAATTAAGTGGCAGAAAACCCAAAAGTTAAACCAAGAATTTTGAAAAATTAAAGCAAGAGCTTATGATCCGTAACACACCATGACCAACTATTCTCAGTGCTTTACAGTAAGAAAAAGAAAATAACACTTTAAAAAGGTAACAGTGTGCTCCTTATGTTGGACAACTATAGAGTGTGTGTGAAGTTTCAACCCACTCCCTACAGTTGTTAGGTTTTGGCAATACTAACAATGCCAAATGCCGGGTGTGTACAATTTCTCTCACTAATTCTTCCAATAATCAACGTAATAATGTACCATAGTTAATTAATATAGTTATAAACTTAAACGAATAATATAGAGATAAAAAGTACCAAGCTGTTGTCTTGTGCGTAGCAGATCTGTTTCCAGTTTGTGTATCCGTAACCCCATTTCAGTCTGCATAGTCTTGTACTGACGTGTCATATCTGAGCAAACAAAATATTTATGATATCATTGAAGTTTAGTTGAAACATATTTATTTTGGCCTGATTTGTGAGAAATGCCTGAAGTTTATATGTACTACTCTCCAGTCTGTTTCTAAGAACTAATTAAAATATAGTATATAATGGTTTCATTTAATTATTATTAAGGAAACATATTGATGAACATTGTAGGATTTGAATCCTGGATCCTCGAGCAGGACTTGAACCTCGGCCCGACCTCCATGTAGGATTTGAACCTCTGCCCTGATTCCAAACAGGACTTGAACCTCAGACCCATTTTTCAAGCAGGACTTGACCCCCTGATCCCTCCAGTAAGACTTGAACCTCAGCCACGATTCCTCAGTAGAACTTGAACTCCAATCCTCCAATAGTATTTAAACCATCAGTCTCCTAGAAGGACTTGAACTCCTGGTCCCCCACTAGGACTTAATGCCCCTAGCCCTAAGTAAGTCTCAAGCCCCTATCCCCAAGTTCAAATCTAGGCAGACATTTTAACCATTAGGCCTTACATTATGAAATACAAAAGGGCTTTTTGCCACAACTTGGGATGGCACTGAACATTCCTGTTAAGTTTCATTGAAATCCCATTAGCAGTTTGACCTGTGAAAGCCAGACATGATTTTTCTATTTGTAGCTCTGGCGGCCATTTTGTGCAGTGAAGCAGAACATACCAGCAATATGCACAATAACGGATGGTACTGATCACTCCTGTGAAGTTATGTCTATAAATCCTTCCAGCAGTTTGATCTGTGAAAGCTGGACAAAAATTTTCAATTTATAGCTCTGGTGGCCATTTTGTGCAGTGAGGCAGGACTTGCTGGCAATATGCAAAACTACTAGAGTTGGTATTGATTGATCCTGTGAAGTTTGCTTAAAATCACCCCTCCCCCCCCCCACAGGAGTTTGGCCTCAGTAGTTTGACCTGACTGAAAGCCAGACAAGCTGAATGAGGACAGACAGGCAGATGGATGGACGTACAAACCGTGAAGGCAAAAACAATATTCCTTAATTAGGGAATGGATTTTAATTCTGAGCGCATCTATGAAATATGAAACTTTATAGAAAACTTAAGAAGTCTGCCCATCTCTTTAGCTTACTTTTAAACTCTACATGTAACAAATTATTCGTAAAAATCTCACAGATACATCATGTATTATCACATGGATCATACTACTTCAAGCCAGTTCCTTCAATTATTAAAGAAAAAATATTTCAAAGATCTAAAATAAGCTAAAGGATTTTACAACTGCAAGAAAGTAGTTGTAGTGAAAACAAAATGTGTTTATAAAACAGCATTATAAAAATTTCACATGTAAACACAAATTTTTATTGATAGAGATCTTGCATTTCTAATCACAATTGCAAAGAATGCGTAATTAAGCATGACACATTTAACAGATAGCAAAAAATGATTTTTCTATAAATGATCTTCCATAGTTTTAAGCCTACCTGCATTGATGGCTTTCTGATCGCTCTTGTGCTCTTCTAATACTTTTTCTGTCTCCTTCATCCGGTTCTTCATCTCATCTTCATTGCCATGAGCTTTCCTTGACAACTCCTTCCTAATTGCTATACAAACAGGAAAGTAAACAATTTTCTATTTACTTGTATTATGTGCATACATTGTATATATCTTTATTTTCTTGTTCAAATAATTAATTAACGTTTATGTCTTATACATCATTATGAAGATATGTATGTTCTGCTTTGCCAGAAAAAGTTTTGCCAAATACTTTTAAATTTTTTAATATTTTAATCTGAAGAAAGTTCAGAAGCACATGCCTTGCTTGACATACAGTACTCCCCTTATTTTTATTGAATTTCTCTTTTTCTACTTATCTCAAATCAGCATAACAATTTTTTTATAAAATTTTGTTACATCAAATGTAAACTATGACACCAAGTGTTCTAAATATGAAATTGTCAGGTTAAATAAGAAGATTTTAGAAGTTTAATGTCAACCACATCATAAATTTTATGTTGATTTTATAACAAATATTTAATATATCACAGTGCTCTATCTAAAATCTCTGAATATATGCTGAGCAATTTTTATTAGAGTTCAGCTTTAGATGTTATAATTATTAATGCTAGAAAAAATTGTAATAATCTAAGAAAATTTCATCCATTTTTCATTTAATAAATCATAATTAACTTCAAGAATATTTGATAGCCCTTTATCTTAAACTCAAGCCATTAAGTGTTTTTTTTTCTGATGTATACAAATATGATACATTATAATCTGATCATTTTGATCAAAAAAGATAAATCTTACCAAGATGATCTTTAAGTGCTTCAATTTCATTGACAGTCCTTTGGTACTTGTCTTCCAACTCAAGGGTGGCATCTGGAATTGTATCACAAATTGGTTATTTGTTTAGTTAATAGTATTTAAATCTACAATAATTATTTCAAATAAAAAAACATCATATCATTAACTTGGCAGTTGCCTTATAATATCAATACATGTACATGTATAAACAAATGCTGTCATTATGTCATTAAGACAGCATATCTGACTTTTATTAGTGTCACTTGACAAAAAGTCATGGGTGTCTGATAGTATCTTCAAATTATGATCCCGAAAACACATACTGTTCAGTACAACTTCTTTGGGAGATAGATTTTGCTTGCTGATATTTAGAGCTGTTTCGCTCTTCAGTTACTTAATTTATTATTATTATTATTATTATTATTATTTTAGGAAGAAATTTAACTGTTGTTGTAAATAGGTTATTGCTCTACAGAGGTGGCACTGACTAAGTTTAAAGTTGATACCTTCAGTTGTTGTGATCGAAGAGTAATACTGCATGCAAAACATTAACCAAGAATTTTCTAAGTTCACAATGGACTATTACTTGATCAAAACCCATGCTAAGACTTATGGGCCTTATTGACTGTGCCCTCCAGTTAAGGTCAAATAGATATGTAAATACCTTCAGTAGTTTTGAAATCATTGATGTGGCAAGTAGAAATTCAATATATTAAGAATTTGATGTTGCATGTAAAACTTTTATTTAAATTTTTTTTAGTTCACAAAGGGACATAATTCATATATCCATTTCAGAGTCATTGACCTTAGCCTTAATGTGTAGAAGATAGTACTTGCTTAATTAGCATATCAAACAGGTATAAGCTATGTTCTGAAAACAAAATAAAATTAAGACACTTTAAGACATATAATTTTTTAGTTTAAAAATTGCTTTTAAAACTTGACCTCACAGATAACCTATAAAGATGCTCTAAGAAGCTAATCTCCTACTGGTAAATGTAGTTCTTTAGCATGCCAAGTGTTTATGCACTCATACATGGGACCTCAATTTAAAGTCTCATCTGAAAGACTGTTTTAGTAATTATTGATGGCCAGCCCGGGAATAGAACTCACACTGTCAAGATTACAAGTCTCATGCTCTAACTGAGGTACATGTATGTAGACTGGCAATTACAACTGTTAGCACAATACCATTAAAATAAATCACAGGTGCACTGCTGATAAGTTGGGAATATCATAATTACAGATAAGTTGGGATCATAATTATCTATTACATAAAAGGGCAATAGGTGTGAAAGCTGTAATTATTTCTAGGAGCATCAAGATAATTTTTGAAGGGCCAGGTTTGACCAGGGTCTTTCAAAGACCCTGGTTTGACAGATGGTATGAAAAAGTATGAACTGCACACCAAATTAATTGAGTGGGACTAAAAAAAGGATTGGAGCACCACACTAAATACCGTATTCTAGTATATACAGGACAAGGTGCTTGAATGATAAAATGCTAAAATCTTGCCTTTTTACGTAACGGAATGAATTTAAACATGTCTAATTCATCTTTTCATACCGATTTATGTAAAATTCGGCGTACAAAAAGATATTTGACTATTTTGTGATCATGATTTCTGCAAGCGTCTAAGGGTACTGCTCCAATCCTGTATTGAGTTAAATCCAAATTAATTAACCAATTATCTCCAGTTATATAACCAATCCAAATTAATTAACCAATTATCTCCAGATATATGAGTTTGCTACACATTACAAGTGCACTTGGCCAGTAGTCACAATGACCTTGTGACTGTACATACCGGCCAGTGGCTAGTTATTTACAAGAATAATTTATATTTCCTGGGGATACCAATTTCCCAACTGTCTTTGAAGGTTGAAATATTAAATACAGTAATTGGCCGCCTTAACTTAATTAAGTTACGGTAGCTTAAGGTCTTCAGCGTACCCGTTTATATATATGACATGACGTGTTTAATGCCGCATCTGATGAAAAACAAAAATGTTAAAAAGCGGCTTATAAAGTTTTGGAAGCCAGAACTAAAGTTACGGTTGAGAATCAGAGAATCAGAATGGAAATGACACATTGATGCACTAAAATACACCAATTTCCTTTACTTTTCATATTTTCACTCCTTATAACATCGCATGTGGGTCAAGTTTATGCCAGACTTACCATCCTTCTTCTTTTTCTTGCCCCCTTTCCCTTTTTTCTTTCCTTTCTTTTTTGCAGGCATTTTTGTTGTCAATAAAAACAATCAAGCCACGAACATGCGATTTTATTGATATGTGATTGGTTGAAAAGATCGTCGCACCTTGATTGAAAAAAAGATCATTCGTACTCAATTCTACAGATCCATAAGGATATTTATAAATATATTAGCTTGAGTACATTTGAATTATATAAAATTGCACGACACACTTTTTAATTGTCCTATTCATTTTTAAACAAAAAAGTAACATCAATCTTCGCCGGTCTCTTCTCGGTAATTCCCGGTCTCTCCCGGTCTATTTTGACCGGGAACTGGGACATACGATAACCCAGCCGGGAATTAATAGAGTATCACACGTTTATTGACCGGTCTCATCCGGTTTTAACCAAAAGTGAATGATGACTTTTATTAGTTACACATTACATTTGATGATTTATTCTATTTAATAAATGTGTTTAGTAAAAATGAAACTGGGTGGTTTAAGAATAATGCATATAATATAGATTCTATTGAAAGATAAATTAATCATAAAATTTTGACACAAACCTAATAGACCTATTTTCAGTAGGTTTTTTCCGCCTTTTGTAAAAAAAAATATGCATTGCAAAATAATAAATTTAAAGATATCATTAACTATATTATTTAATTCTTGAAATAGAATATTTTTCTTATAGTTATACATGTTTTAAAATATCTTAAGCGAAAAAAAAACTTTAAGTGTATTTCGTTAATTTCAAAAATATTAAAATAACACTTTTATTCACACTGAAAAATCAAATAATGTATACAAATAATCATTCAAAGACGGGCACATTCCGGGCCTGTAAATATGATGCTATTCTCCAGTCAAAATAGACCGAGGGCCGGAACCGACCGGACATAGAAATGGTATAATCCCAACAATCGCTACTTACCGGCCAATTCCGTCAACCACCAATACGGACGTATATCTGGGCACGTGATCTGACTTAGAAATTCCGATAGCTATTTATAGCTTATATACATGTTACTATATATTGAACATTAACTACATACATACATAAATGTTGTGAAAATGTCTACTTCTCTCAAAACCGAGTTGTTTTGTGATCAGAAAAAGAAAATATGGCCAAAAGAAGGGCGGCATATTCTAGCTCAATATGACGATAAACACATCGTTGTTTATCAAGCATTTTGTCCTGAAATAGCCGAGTTTGCAGTGGAAAATGGAAAATTTGGTGGACCTAAATACAGCTTTACTCGCATGACATGGATTAAAACGAATTTCTTATGGATGATGTACAGATCAAATTGGGCGAGAAGTCGAGGACAAGAAAGAATTTTGGCAATAACGTTATGCAGGGATGGTTTTGATGAAATTTTAAGATGTTCTAGAGGAGAAGGGATTTATATCGACTCATCTGAGAAAATACCAGGTACGTACGTGTCTTCTGAAATGATAAATCTGTATACACGCTTTACAGTATGATTAATTATTAGAATAACTCAGAATAATCAATTACAATTATTAAATATATTTTTTTCCATGACCTTTAGTCCTTTGACCGAAGTCAGCTACTGCAGGTATTGGGCAATGGGTTCTGAAAATAAGCTATTTTTGTCGATTAATTAGATATTGCATCTAGCTATGGTCGACATTGAGCCTAGATTTTATGATTTCAAATTACATTTTGTAAGTGGTCGCATTCATATTAGATCAATTAAGTCATTGTCAACCTACTAGCTCAGTACACTAAAGTTTAAATGGTCAATATGCCATGTACCGTGGCCTTGACCCTTGATCTACTGACCTTAAAATCAACAGGGCTAATCTTTTGTCACAACTAGCATCCACTTCAAATCTATGGACTGTAGACCAAAACGTTTTCTAGTTATTTGTCAGACAATCTTTCAGGGCTCAAGTTCACGGCGACCTTGAACTTTGACCTACTGATTTCAAAATCGACATTGATCATCAACTAGCAATAAGTATAGTAGCAAGTCTCAAAACGTTTGGCGAAATCTTTGCAACGTTATTGATCCGAACTAAAGAAGACATGTCCATTAAAATTACACGACCTATTCTTTAACAAGTTATTTATTGGACACAGAAGAGGTGACGTACATGTACTTATACGTACATTCTGACATATCGACGGACCCCACCTAAGCATGTTCATACTTTTTGAATGGGAGCATAATTATAATTAAGATGTTTGAACATGTTTAGAAAATATGTATTTATAATAAGTAATTAGGCTTAATTAGGATGGCATGTTTTAGAGCATTTATATTTTTTTCCACAAGGAAGCTTATAAGTGGCCATGCATGCATGTTCCTAGACCCGTTACATTTTTTTTATTTTAAAAGTTTACGGGGGGTTTGTATCCGATGCGTAAAAATGACTTGTCACCATTCTTTACAAGAAACTATAATTAAATTGTAGGCCCGAGCCTACTACATATAGGGTAATTATTGGATATCCTTTTAAACGGTTTCATTTAATTGTGAAACATATTATGACAAAAGTTTTGTTTGGAACTATAGATATTTTATATGAATGTGCTAAATTCTAAAGTGTATTTAAGTATATATACTACGTACGATATAATGGTTTTAATACAGTTTGTCCTAACATCAACATATAGGCCTACCCATCCAACCGTTTTGATTACACATATTCAACCTTTTATTACACCGCCGTTCTGTTTATTCAATGTGCAAGTAATGTATTGCTCGTTTTTATTCAGTGTTATTTTCATTCTTATTTAGACAATGTACGTCTCCAATGGGACCCAGACCATAGTCCAAACGGCAGCAAAATTATTGAAAGGCGAGCAGTTCAGCTAGGTTTGCGGGGTGACATGGTTACAAGATTTAACGAGGAATGGGTAAAGAAGATCGAGGACATAACCGATTTTGTTAAAGAACAGCACGACTTTGTTCTAAATGATAAAAAAGATTTGTTATGTACACCAAGTGAAAGAGTTTACATTCCGAACAATGCTGAGATATGCAAACATATTCTCCTTGATGGGTTTTCAGAAAGAGGTAAGCCCAGAAACCGAAAAGAATGTACAGAAACTGTATCAATTCTTGATGGTGCTTGCTGTTTAGAAATGCTAGATGACACATTACAGGTAATAACAGACATGAAACAGACTGAATCTAAGGGTGTAGCGACATGTAATGTCATTCTGTGTCTAGGTGGAGCTTTCAATCCAGTGCACACACGACATATACAAGTTATGGTGGAAGCTAAAAAATGGTTAGAAGAAAACACACATTTCCGTGTAACCGCTGGATTTCTTGCAGTTGCCCCTGATGGTTATGTGAAGAAGAAATGTGAAAAGACGCTGCAAATGTGTATTAGAGGAGAACATCGTATAAAAATGTGCGAAATTGCGTGTGAGGGATATGATTGGTTAAACCCTTACAAGAAACCAATCGGGTCGGCTGAAGACTGTGGAAAGACTGTAAAACGAGAATTAAAACAACCCGATGTTGACATAGCTGTGATATATGGGGCGGACAGAGCCATGAATAAATCAGGAAATGCCAAATGGCATAAAAATAGCTCTCAGATCATTGTCTGTATTGGAAGGAAGGGGGAGACTGAACAAGTAAAAATGACCTTTGTTGAGGACAAGAAAATGGACCTTGTGAGAAACGAAAACTTTTTCATAGTTCCAAACGAGCTTGACGACGTAAGCTCAACTGGCGTTAGGAAAATGCTTTTTTCATCTTCAAATGATGATGATACTGAGATAGCAAGGAAGAAACGTGTAGATGAAGTAGTTACCCTAGGGTGGGTCACTGAAAAGCAGGGACAATATATAATCGACAACTATTCCAATTTATTCAATAACTAAACATATAGCAATAATTCACGAGTTACAAATTAAACTTGTTATATAATTAATTATAAATTTGATTATAATATATCTGACAGTCTTTCAAATAGAATGGTTTGGAGACGCGCCCTACTCCCTATCATGTCTCGTTATGATTATCATATGCGTGTTAATATCACAGCGCTATTTCTTTTCATTTGAAAGACCCAGTATAAACGTTAATATTGCAAACAAGTTAGCAACCGCTAATATACGACCGTTTAACATGTCAAAATAACTTTGTGAGGAAAATCGAAAATTACATGCACTTTTTAATGACAGCGCTGAGCGCTTATGCAGTGTATATAAATTATATAATTTAATTTCGGCTGCTTTTTTTAAAAAAAAACATGCATCCCCTCTGATAAAATGGATAAACAGAGTTAATATCTTTAACAACCGGAGCACGCAATTCATTTAGAAAAGTCGTCAAAATGACGTCATTTTAAGCTTGTGTAAGATTGGTTTGTTGTAAACGTTAGAATATACAGTCTGATGTGTAAGTTTAAATTGTTGATAAATTTTGGAAGAATAAAGAACTATACAAACAAGCTATTTTCTTGTAATTTTTGAACATAACACCCAAATATGAAAATGGACAACCTCCAAGAAATGGAGCGTTAGTTGTTTCCTTTATCAATCCTCTCGTTCGAAATAATATATGTCTGGTTGATGTTCATCAGCGGTTATTTAACACCTATTTGTCATTTTGGTACAAAGAAGTTAAACGCTTTGATTAATTCCTTCACACCAAAACTCCAAAACCGGCGTTATAACAGCTCCAACAGTGTACATGTTATTTCCAAAACTATTGCAGTGTGGTTCCAGACCAATCTGAAAATCAGTTCTAAATATCGCTCCGAATTGAAGAAATAAGTAGATCTGAACTTGTTCTGGATAACGGAACCCATGGGCAAATTCCTTAACCACTATAAGTAAGACTGGGCACTAAATAATGCTTAAGTAAAATCTACACGTAATATTTCACAATATTCAGTTTAAAAAATTAAGTGATTTAGACAATATAGGCCTACTATTGGTTATTTCTTGGATTTAGAGTCACCAGTGTCGACTGGACCCTAAACGATCAAAACTTAAACTATATTACATTGCAAACCTTAGATGTTATCAAAGTAGTTGAATAGTGTGCGAAAATGTTTGGTATTGTACATTATGGTGTCGAAGTAAGGATATATTAAAAACAACGAAAATATACCGCATGGTATCTAAATATGGGTTTCTTTAATGAAGATTGAATCAGTAAGTTACATTATCACATGTTTGCTTGATAAAACAAATGTCTTCAAAATATTAAGATACGATGTTATACGTCGACATTAGATCTCTTTAGCACATGCAGTCAAACCTGTGTGAAAGACCACATCTGATTAAAGATGACCATGTGTATAAAGGTTCCAATGAGACAACTTTTCATTAATAATAAAGAACAAAGTAACCTCCGGATAAAGGCAACTTGTCTATAAAGGAAATGATCGGATCCTCCCTTGGTTTGCCTTTTTTAACAGGTTTGACTGTATGGAGCCCGAATGGAGTTTTAACCGCTGATTCCTCCGTTTAGAACTACTTAACTCTCAATAAACAGGGTTGCCAGCGGGCTTGAAAAGCCAGGGAAATCTGATATTTTTCAAGATCAGTGATTTGTCAGGGAATTTTCAAAATTGGTCAGTGAAAAATAAAAATCCTAAAAAGTCAAGGTAAGTCAGGGAAAAAATAATTTTGAATGACACAATTTTTTTTATTAATTCTTTTGGCTATGGCAGTCTTGAGTTACTGGTCAAGTCGTATGCACTGACGGAGGAGTCTTGAATGAAAAGAAAAGAGCCAGATACAGAAATGAAAAATGTGCAACATCTTGAAAAGAAATTGAAGCATTGAAAATTCTTAGTGATGTACATGTATTACATGTATGAATTTGACCGCATCTAACAATGAGCTACTAATGCAGCTCTCTTTCTGCCGATTTATTTGATAAGAACATTACCGACTCTCCTTTGTGTGAATGTGGTGCGAGAGAAAATGCTTATCACTACTTTCTTGAATGCCCTAAATATACTAACCTACGACCTGAATTAATAAGTACTATATCTCAATTTTGTAATCCTTCCATCAATGTCATTCTTACTGGTTCCACTACTTTACCTTATGATTCTAATGTATCAATCTTTAAATCAGTTTCAAAAATATATCCGAGATACAAAACGATTTTAGCGTACTTTTGTCTTAACATATTGAACATTTACTAGATTATGCATCTTAGTTCCTCGTTATTGTTCCATCCTTGTTCATCCATTTCTTCCTTCCTTTTTCTAATATCTTTTTTTCTTTAAATATTCAGTGTATACCTATTGTGCGTATCTGCTAATATACATGCAGCTCTAAGCATTCAAATAAGATATTATTTTTCTTCTTCTTACTAAATTCTAAAACAAAAAAAAATACTAAAATAGGTGTTTGTCTATTTGTACTTTTTTGTGAGTTGCTTTATTCTTCAATCATTTTTTTTCTCCTTTTTACTGTTTGCTCTTACATAATTATGTTACATTGCTAAATACTTAACTCTTAACTATTATGTGAATGTCTTTAAATACTTCAACTAACCGTTGTGTATGATAATGCCATGAACTGTGTTTTTGTAAATTATTATAACTGGGAGAGGACATTTATAAGCTTTATAGCTTTCTGCCCAATCCCAAAATGTACTTTGTAAATATTGTTCACTTGTTAAATGTTTTGTTGAATAAATATGTTTAAACCAATGAGCTACTCATTATTTTTACAAAGCTTTTGCGGTTTGCTATTATACATTGTAGTTTTATATTTGTATTTCATTTAACATGACTATTGACAATCTGAGTATGACCCCTTGAAAATTCTCAATGGGGAGAAGTAACCCTAGCTTCTCAAGTTTTTGAAATTCCTATGTTTTGTCATATTTTTCACAACATGTACACACATGCAGGAGCATCCTCTCTGAAAGGTGTTTTGTGTAAAAATGGATATGTTATTTGCTGGACACATTTACTGTTACTGTTATATTTCTTTTTCTTATACGGTCATCATCAGATCTACATAAAAGAAATAAGTACGTAGATCTGAACTTCGGTAAGATTGTGTATACTTTAGCTTCACTTACTTTTTAATATGTTTATATGTTTGAAAGAAGTTTTTTTATGCGTTTTGTGATATTTTGTTACTCTTTCAATAGCTAAAACATTACATTATTAAATTTGTCAATTAAATAGCTGAAACATTACATTATTAAATTAGTCAATTAAATCTTAGAAATATTGGTTAAATCTTGTTAGATTTGTATGCTTATTTTGCATAGTTAAATATTTTACTGAACAAACTACCAAACTTTGATTAGATATATGAAGCATGTTTTAATGTTTTAATGTTAAATAATGTAATACCATGCATATTGTTAAAAGAATAATAATAAAAACAAAACAAACAAACTTATGAGTGGATTGGACAGCTGTAGGGGAGGTGGAGGCCGTTTAAGTTTGGTAGTTTTGGTCAATGAAAAACTTAATTTGGTCAGGGAAAAGTCAGGGAAATTTATTAATCTATGGTGCTGGCAACCCTGATAAATGTTTCAAAAAGGTTTGTGTGAATATTTTGCATCGTTTTGCAGTCAGATTTCGTGATAACGTTCTGTTGTGACATTTTGTTCAAAGGTATCGCATGTTTTGGACACACCATAACTCACGCCCTAAAGTATATCTTCACGTAATGCGTGAAGATATGATACAAATATTGGTAAATATAGAGAAAAGTCATTTCGGTTTTCTTCAAAAAAGTTTTGAATCTCATTAATTTTTTTGAAAAAGTTTAAGAAATAGAGGTTATTGAATGAGTGTAAGTTTAATACTGAATTTGTTGAACGAGTTGAGTAAAATTATATTCTGCGAGCCCTTGACCAGCATAATGTTATTTCATTCAACGAGTTCAATTAAGTCAGTTATGAACTTACACGAATTTAATATTCTATTTATCACATACCAAAAATAAAGACCGTTGGAAGTGAAAAATAACTTTTATTTCATTGACTCGTCTATAGTTTAACGCTAACATTTAGCGCGTCTTGTATAATACATGCAAACTACATGCACGACCGTGAATACCATTTTTACGGAGTCGCAAAAGGGGCACGGTTATAAATGTGATTATCCTGTGATTGACTTAAATGCTTAAATCATTATTGGGTTCCACGGTACTTAACACATATTTTTTTTTATTTCTGCTCAAATTTGACAGTAATATGAAGTTCAGCCCGCCCCGTCCGTGTTAATGCAATACTGCATGCAAAACATTAACCAAGAATTTTCTAAGTTCACAATTGACTATTACTTGGTCAAAACCCATGCTAAGACTTATTAGCCTTATTGACTGTGCCCTCCAGTTAAGGTCAAATAGATATGTAAATACCTTCAGTAGTTTTGAAATCATTGATGTGGCAAGTAGAAATTCAATATAATAAGAATTTGATGTTGCATGTAAAACTTTTATTTAAATTTTTTTCAGTTCACAAAGGGACATAATTCATATATCCATTTCAGAGTCATTGACCTTAGCCTTAATCAAGGCTTAATGTGTAGAAGATAGTACATGCTTAATTAGCATATCAAACAGGTATAAGCTATGTTCTGAAAACAAAATAAAATTAAGACACTTCAAGACATATAATTTTTTAGTTTAAAAATTGCTTTTAAAACTTGACCTCACAGATAATCTATAAAGATGCTCTAAGAAGCTAATCCAACTGGTACATGTAGTTCTTTAGCATGCCAAGGGTTTATGCACTCATACATGGGACCTCGATTTAAAGCCTCATCAGAAAGACTGTTTTAGTAATTATTGATGGCCAGCCTGGGAATAGAACTCACACAGTCAAGATTACATTAGTCTCGTGCTCTAACTCAGACTGAGCTATGCAGGCTGGCAATGACAACTGTTAGCACAACACCATTTAAATCACAGGTGCACTGCAGATACATGTAAGTTGGGAATATCATAATTACAGATAAGTTGGGATCATAATTATCTATAACATAAAAGGCCAATGGGTGTGAAAGCTGTAATTATCTCTAGGAGCATCAAGATAATTTTTGAAGGGCGAGGTTTGACAGATGGTATGAAAAAGTATGTAAGATGGTTCAAACTGCACACCAAATTAATTGAGTGGGACTAAAAAAAGGATTGGAGCACCACACTAAATACCGTATTCCAGTATATACAGGACAAGGTGCTTGAATGAAAAAATGCTAAAATCTTGCCTTTTAACGTAACGGAATGAACTTAAACATGTCTAATTCATCTTTTCATACCGATTTATGTAAAAGTCGGCGTACAAAAAGATATTTGACTATTTTGTGATCATGATTTCTGCAAGCGTCTAAGGGTACTGCTCCAATCCTGTATTGAGTTAAATCCAAATTAATTAACCAATTATCTCCAGTTATGAGTTTGCTACACATTACAAGTGCACTTGGCCAGTTAAGTCACAATGACCTTGTGACTGTACATACCGGCCAGTGGC